TACAGTAAAAAATAGAATAAAACCAAACACATACAGAAATAATAATATCTTCAATAAACAATATAATGCATAAAAGAAAAGAAGACTGATTCCATTTCTAGTTTCTTGCAGAAAACTATCCAAATGATCCATTGCCATTTTCATATAAAGTTAACATAAGTGCAGCTTTTATGGGTATCAAAAATAATTTTTAAATAGCAAAGATAATTCAATAAGGCATTTTACTATAGACTTACTTTTCTGTCTGCTTATACTGCTGTTCTTGTAGGGATACTAGAGTTTTCATATATTGAATTTGTGTTTTCAAATCCTGAATTTCCAATTTCAAGTGACAACACTTCAGATCTCCACGTAGATCCTTGAAAAAAGTGAAATTCAAATCAAAATTATACACTGTACAGCTGAAAAGTATCAAAGTGCAACTATAATAGCCAGGTAACTCATTTATTCCAAGAGTGGGCATGGCTCCAAGAGCGCCTACCGAGCGTGATCAAAGAAGTCCAGAAGGTGGCTGAGACCGTGCGATTGAAACTCTGTGGCACATAAAAAACAGGCAAAGCGTCAATCGCAGGATCGTGGCTGCCGTCTAGACTTCGTGACTGTACCCAAGGGACATCCTTGCATGACTCAGAACCTTATTATATAACAAGGAAAGTTGGGCAACATTCCACAATAGCAGAACATTTTAATCTAAGCGTGGACAGGCAGACCTGATACAAGGCGAAAGCCAGAGAACCTCTTGATATTTTGGACAATTCACATTATTTCCAGCCAAATTGGTCAACAGCAAGGGCCTGAAGGACGATATTGGTTGCCTAAACCTGGTTAAAACTAAGCACGGTGAGAACAACTGAATTAGTGTCTTCAAAGATAAAAACGCAAACAAGAAGTCCTGATAATTTTTTGACTTGTGAAGAAGCCCATCTAAAGTTGAGGACTATTGTCAAGAAAATGAGTGTAAACTGGTAACTAGATCAAGGAAGACCGAGAGAATAGACAAAAGTGGAAACACTGCCCACGTGCTGATGCCTAGAAACTTTCCAGGCAAAGCCAAGTGAAGAACTCGCTCTGATGGTAGAAAATGAAAAAGGATTACAGGAGAACACCCTTCAACATGATGTCAGTTAAAACACACACACACACACACACACACACACACACACACACACTATTACCATATATTATTTGATTTATAGGCCACCTAATTGTGAGGCATGTGTGTGTGTGAATAAACATATAAAAACTGTATAAAAAGAAACCCATAAAAAACCCAAAAGAACAAGATACTGCATCAGGGAAATACAGAAAGAATCAAAATATTTCCTCTGTAATGCAGATTCAGAAATTCACCCTGGCCCAGGCCTGCTTGAAAAGTCTGTTTTTTAAAGATTTCCTGAAAGACAGCAGGGATGGGGCTGTGCAGACTTGGGGGAGGGAAGGATGCTGTTCCTGAGGGCAGCAGCATCATGCATACAGTAACACTAACGTTTAGAACGGCAATATTATATTTCAAGCATTTTTTAAAAAATCATAGCTATTGTGCTTTCAATTTATTTCTATATGTTGAAAAATAGTTCACCAGTTCAGTAGTGACAAAATACATAAACTTCATTAAAGAGCATTCTACTGTTTGAAGAATGCAACCTGCTTCTTTTTTTTCTTCCAATTGTATGCATCTTTCACCTTTTCCTGTGAAGATTTCCATAGAGAGCAAATGACAGCAGCTTATTATAAGAGTCCACTATAGACCTGGCTTGCATGATACATGAAGCTAATTGAGATTATAGCTTATTTTTTGGAACAACTCAGGGAGAGAAACTATGCCATATTTTGGTTTCTTTTCTTGATTGGGTTAGTAGTGAATAACATTCCCAAGTCCCCATTCAGACCTTCTGTTAAACTAGGCATGGATGGGAAACCTATGGCTTGAGAGCCACATCTGCCTTCTAACTGTAGGAATAACCTTGAGGAACAGGAAGAGCTGCAACCAAGACTTGATCCTCCCTTGTTCTCACAAAGCGAAAGGGAGGGGGTGGGAAGTGCATTTAGACTTGCAAGATTCTGTACTATAATCTTATAATAAAAGTAGTATTAGCATTCATAACTTTGGTTTCCTAGTCTGGTTTACCTCCAAGGGCTGACATCAGTCTTGCAAGTATCAGTGTGCTTCCTCCCTCAATTCTTTTATCTCTGTGAGGACAAGGGAGGGGTCAAGTCTGAGATGCTTTCTCAAATTACATTTCTACTGTGGATCTGATTGCTGTCTTGGTTGTGGCTTTTCTTCTTGTTCCTCAAGGTCATTCCTTCTTCCCATTACACTAACCTGCAGTCTGCCAAACTACCTCAGTGCTAAAATTCAGCAGGAAAGCCCCCCTTTTCCCACTATAACAGTTAGTGCTTTTTGGCAAGGGAGGAGGGGCAAATTGAAGAAGCAAAAAGAAGCACTACGTTTTTGTAAGGTTTATCACAGACATTTTCACTTTTGTATGCCAAGTTGCTAACCCCTAAAAGAAAGAATAATACTTCAGTCCCAAAGAGCCAGTAATCATGATTAGAGTGGTTACGTTTTGCTTTAGTGCAAATCAGGTCATAGTCAACTGTTATTCAGTGAAGTTCAGAACTGTCCTAATGGAAACCTTTTCAAGTAGCAAAACAAAACAATACTTTATTGAATGTTCCTAATACAGATAATACAGCATTTTCTTCTTACTGCATCACACACACACACACCCATATTTGCAAAAGTTTAAGTTATATAGTTAACTAAAATAGCTATTGTTTTGAATAACTGATGAAAAATTCAATGTCATATCAAATGCCAGACTCTAGTGATTTTGACTCAAAAGGTCCTGCCCTCTTATTTTCAATAATTTACATTCCTCTCCAACTTGTCTTCTTGCAGATTTATTTTCTAAATCAAATTCTTGAACTATAGGCCAGAATATGAGAAGCACTATTTTATCTTCAATTAAGCAATACATTTTGGTGTACTGTCCCCCCACCCACCCCAACAGACACTTGCACATTTTGTTATTTCTTAACAGACACTGCTAGAAGTCAATTGTATTGCACTTTCATGGGAAAGAATTACTGGCACATACAGAAACATGCAGAGAGAATTCCTATATTCAGGGTGCAGTGCTGTCCAATGATGAGCCCAGAAGCTCCCTATATTGATAGCTGTTCCAATAGTAAACTCTCAAATTTTATTCAGATGTTACAGAAATGGATAAACTCAATACATGAATCGCAGTGGTGTAGCTTTGCCTGCTGGCATTGTATAGATGAAGTAGGTACAGATGGAAGGTTTGGCCTAACATGACAAATAAAATATCGCAATGGCTAAACATTGGTTAATACAGTATGGATACAACTTGGATTTATTTCATTTATTTGACCCTATTGGAAGCTTATCCCATTAAGTCATATTTAATAATGCCCGCAATCTGCTGCCAACTATCCATTTCCAAGAATGCCTTACCAAAATCACCAGCATTACTTCAATCTGTTTATCAATGGGGTTTGTGCTAATGCTCTCCTATCCCTTCGCTAATTAGTGGTTCCTATAATAGTGGACTCTTTTCAGCTTAAAAAACTAAAATCACTTCGAATCAAAGAATTATAGAGTTGGAAGGAGACATTGCATCCAATATCCCACCCCTTGCAGGATGTTATTAGAGAATTACTATTGAAACTCATATAGGGGCATTCTATAGGTCATAAGCACACAGCTCCTCTACAGCATAACCAAAAAGTGTCCACAAACTCTCATGGTAAAGCTGTCTCTGTAGTTCAGCACTGCAAGAATCTTCAGGATAAGTAAACACAGCTGTGATTAGAGTCAGTCATAAAAGACGATGATTGTTTACAGCTAATGGTTTATCTCCAATTTATGGGTGGAAAAATGCTTACTTTCAGTGCATATAAAAGAAGCTGATCTCCCCCCCCCCAAAAAAAAATACAGTGCAGGATAAAGATCAGCTAAGATTGGTTAAACATTAAAACCACCTGCTCTTCATATCATTAATAGTTATTTTATACTATTATTTCTGATGGGTACAGGAATGTTGTTTATAATTTAATATTAATGCTATGAGGGTGTTATTCTTGCCATGGTCATTTTAATTTAGTGATACTGATGGTATTTCAGATTAATCATGCAGGTTTTATTACTTATATACTTACAGTATATTATACTGTAGGTGTTTTAGTTTTGTTGTAAGCCACCATGAATTTGTATGGAGTTGGAAGCATATAAATTCTATAGATATAGGTAGTCTGCAGATTAAGAATGTCTGGTTTAAGTATGATCCATAGTTAAGTACGGAGCTTACTGTAGCAGAATTTGAGTTAAATATACAGTGGTCCGAGTTAATGACACAATATTGCTTATACAGTATTATACAATAATACTGTTCCGTCTTACATACAAATTTGACCAAAGGACAGACCTTGGGAACAGAACCCGTTCTCAAACTGGGGACGGTCTGTAACATAATGCTGAGAAACAAAAACAACAAAACAAACAAACAACAAATGAAGCAGCTTACTGGAGGAATGTGACCATCTTGACCCAGGAGGCGCATTTCATTCTCCAACCTATGCAACCAATTTGTGTTGTCCTCAAAACATTTAGATTCCTCTTCTTTTTTCTTTTCTAGATGCAAACGGCGAGTTTTAAGTAAAGCAAGCCGGTGATCATGTCTCCCAGTTGCCTATAATATAAGAAATTTAACTTTGCAGGACAAAGGGCACAGCTAGATAACAGAAGCGTGGTTACTACTGAAAACAAACAGAGCACATTGTCCTGCCAGATGACACCATATTTTATTTTGCCTTACAGAATGTTATTAAAGGAGATTAGATTCAACATCATCCAGGGAGCTTCTTGTTCTCCTATCTCTCCAGCCATCTGAAATAGATTTGGGGATGTGTTGGGAAAGGAGAATCGGTATTTTCTAATTTTGCTGTCTGAAAGTGGCAACTGAATAAAACCCAGTGTTCCCTCTCAAATGCTACTTCATTTACTATCAACAATGACTTTAGAAATAGGGAAATTCAGAAGTATGTCAACATGTTACATGCTGTTATTTGCACATTATTAACAAGGTTAGATTGCTATATCTGGCAGAATAGAGCACTGGTACCATCTACAGGTAGTCTTCAATGTATGATGGCAATTGGGACTGGAATTTCCATTGTTAAGCAATGCAGTTGTAAAGCGAGACTGCATTGCTTAGCGACAGCAATTCCTGCAATCCCGGTTGTCATCATTAACCGAATCCCATGATCGTTAGGCGAGGTAACTTTCTGCCAGCTTCCCACCATGAAAATCAGTGGGGGAAGCTGCCAGGAAGTTGTAAGTCCCAGGCCAGCAGGCAGGTAAGTGGCTGCTGTGGGGCGGGGGAGGGAGTGAGGGGGTATGCAGGGGTGGGTGCATAAGAGTGTGGTGCAGGTGTGAGGGAGGCATGGTGAGGTCAGGGAGGGTGCACAAGTGACTGGCGCAGTGTGAGCGCACAGGGGCTGGGGGGCTGCATGGGTGGGGCATACTTACCTCAGCGAATTATGACTTTTCCTGCCAGCTTCCCCACTGACTTTCTGGGGAAGCTGACAGGGAAGGTTGCAAATGGCAATCACTTGATCACAGGGCACTGTAACTGGTTGCAAGAGCGAACTGGTTACAAGTGCCCAGATTGCGATCACGTGACCACGGGGATGCTGGGACAGCTGGAACTCCAAGGAATGATCGTAACCACCATTTGTTCAGCACTGTTGTAACTTCAAATGGTTGTGGAACAAATGGTCATAGGTCGAGGACTACCTGTAATTAAGTTCACAGCTTTTCAATCCACTAATAGCATGGATGGTTAAAGCAATTCAGCTGGGTCTTTGACACAAATCCAAAAGGATAAATATGTCTTTACATTAACTTATTATTACATTATTCTCTCTTGCCTCAAGATATCTTTCAGAAAGTTTGCCCCATAGTTAAAGACACAGTTAACTATTAAGAATAAAGGTTATGGAAAGAATAACGCTTCCCTGCATTTCTCTTCATTTCAGCTTCTAAAAGATTTCGTTCTTAGTGTAGCAGCAGAAAAAAAAGTAACCCTTCATTTTTAGAAAGCTACTGCTATTCTTAATTGAAAACAGATGAAATGAAAGGCAGAACATAAAAAATGTTTACAGCTGAAATTCGAAAATTGACACTGATGGTTAACTGCTACATAATGGAAATTTATCTGCATACAATCTGCTCAAGTCATACTGGTTTTTCAGATAAAGCATGATTAAAATAAAAAAGGTTACTAATATAATTTAAAAAACAAGGAGACAAAAATCTTTGCATATATACCCAGTAAAAACTAGCAGCTCAGCCCGAAGCCCCCTTTTTTTTCTTTGCAGTTATTGGAGACTTGCTATGAAAAAAATAGAGCAGTGAATTGCTAAGATGATTGAATCACAGAATAGCAGTCAGTGAAAATGCAGTTTGACTTGGGAGCTACCTTTCAAGAAAGACCCACAGATAGAGAAGGATAATGGGAAGTGAAATAAGAGATAAGAGAAAGTAGGTTTTTTTCAGGCTGGGTTCTGCAGACTTGAATGGGTTCTGTGAGGACAGAAGACTAAGGGGAAAAAAAATTGTCAAATACACTCAACCACCCACTTCTGCCTTGATGCTGCTCTTCTCTCAGTGGCTACAGGTAGTCCTTGTTTACTGACTGTTCACAGTTGTGACAGTGATGAAAAAGTAATTTTGTGACCAATCCTTGCATTTACAACCGTCACAGGTCTGTAAAGCAAAGCTGAAGTAATTTTGTAAGCAAGGCATGGTTTCACTTAGCAACTGCTTCACTTAATGACTGAGTTGCTGTCCCCAATTGTGGTCACTAAACAAGGACTACCCATATATGTCACCAACATTTGCAAGGGCTCCACTCAGGAGGTACTGGCTGCTTTGCCTTCATCAAATGCACAGGAACAAAACGTGACCCCTTACCTGCCTCTAAGCTCCAACAAACATTTCTATCTCTGTAAGAATTATCATGGTGATCATTTCCACATTGCGGACATGTCTGCAAGAGGTCTGCTTAATAAATAGAATAGTTATTTATGAATAAATTCACACTGAACTGTGTGGGGATTAATTGAAAAAGCTTAGAATTACAGTGCTTGGCCACAGTGCATGTGTGCTTCAAATCCCTTTGGAGTACAACTTCCTCTGGAGTAAACATACATGAGAAGGCAGGCAGGAGGAAGTAGTTTCACCTACGCGTTCAGAATGGGAAAAATCTATGCCATCAATACCCATCCTGATATACACCCCTTAGTATATGAATATTATTTTTTATTCTTTGATTAGGCCTAATAAATATTTTTCCAGATGTGGATCATTGGATAAAAACTGGCACAATAGCAGTTGGAACAGAAAAAGCAAAACAAATTCCAGTGGTGCTGGGGCTGCTTCTCATGGGACAAGTTTTGAGAATTTAAGCTCAAGGACCAGTAAGAAACAGAACTAGGATCAGAACTTTATCAGCTTTGGTTTTACATGGACTGGCAAGAAAGACAACCCAAGTGGACTACATGTTGAATGCAAGCAAGTATTGGGTAATAGTAGCCTGAATCTTGCAAAATTAGCAAGACATCTGGAAACCAAACATTCCAATCTGAAAGATCTGAAGGCCAGAGTACTTCAAAAGAAAATGTCCAGATGTCCATAAGAAGAAAATAACGTTTCATACATTTTGGGTAACAACAGGATAAGTGCCCAAAGTTTTGATTTGTTCGCTTAAAGCATCAACCTCCCAAATAATTGTGAAATCCAAATTTTATTTTTGTGTACTTTTGAAACATTAATTTTGTATTTATTATAAACAGTTTATGTTTCATTTTGTTGCCAATTTTCTGTCATTACTGCTTATCCTTTTGATCGAGGGTTCTGGAAAATCTTTTAACTAACAGGTTCTGCAACTTGAAAAAAATTGAAAATCACTGGAATAAAAGATCACTAATGGTGAAGAAAGAAGAAGGGTCTGAGAAAAACATAAGCAGATGAGTAGACAGGGCATCAGGATAGGAAGACGGGATTAGAAAATCTCTTATTTAGATATCAGAGGACAGTGAGATAATTTGGGATATGAGGGAGGGGAAGCCATGCTAATGTGCCCCTGAAACACTTTTTATACAAGCTTTTAGTATGGATGTTGATCTGAATGCCCTCAGTTCTCTAGTAAATAAGAAAAATGTTATGTGAGTTCAGCAAGCAGACCCACTGGATCAGAACCAGAACCACATGCTTTACTTATTTACACACACACACACACCCCAAACTGGCTCCCAGACATTAAATATAGTAACATTTTAAAAACATAAAAAGAAAGATAGCAGATCTGTTGTATAAATTGCTTACCTTTTCAAATCTTTCTGGTGAGCATGAGAATGCTATCTGAATTTGTTCGTGGCAACGTTTCTGATAATGTGTTTTAAGGGCATTTTCTTTTAGTTGTAGTTCAAACTTGAGGAACTCTTTCCTTATTTCCTCTCGATTTGCAAACACACACTTCAAAATTTCTTTTAACCTGCCCCAAACATTTATATCAATAAAACCAGTTGCAGAAATAGCACATGTTGGGGAAAACAAAATAATTGCATTACAGCTTCTACAGTTTCTAAAAAGGATTAGGTTAAAACATCATTGGTTAATTCTAATATTACTGTGATATATACTAAAATTTCTAAGTTTCAGATAGAAATTTGTTTTCTCAGGAGGCACACACTGAAGATCAAATATTAATTACCACTTTGACATCTGTATAGTTCTTTCATAACCTTCCTAGCTTAATACTAGGAACCTATTGTTAGGTATTGAAACTTTTTTAAAATACCCCACCCTCTACCCCTCCCTGGCTCTATACAGACCATTCTATCTTTTTAAGGTGGAAAGTAGGGAAGGTATGGAATTGCAGATGAAAATCTTATTTATTTATTTATTAAATTTGTATGCCACCCATCTCCCCCATTAATCTTTAAAGAATGATGTACCTTTCAGGATTATAATCTTAAAACACTCTCTTCAAGACAGGTTAATATTGTAACAGTAATTCTTATAAACAGAAGCCACATCATATTAGTTATGACCATGTGTTGATCCTTGATCCTATGAAGAAGCAACTACCTATTCCATAATATCATATAGCTTAACCTAGGAGCTGTGTTGACCTCCTCTTCTGGTCATACACATCACACATTTAAGTATCTAGGAAATAACTACTGGTTGTTTAGTTGTCCAGGAGCCTTTCTTCCAACACAAGGAAAAGGTTGACTGTGCCCTCTGATCCTCCAACTCTTTCAGATGTGATAACAAAGTTAAGTAAAAGGTGAAAAGGAAGGGGAAATGGATGTTTTGGATAAGCAGTGATATCAATTGTTTTTCTAAAACGTTGTTCTTCAGCTGGAAGATCATACTGTGACTGAAGGTGGATTGACTATACAATGACACCATCATCAAAATTTCCCTTTTAGGACTTCCCTCCTCAATGGTGAAAAAAGAATTATATATGTATTATATTTATCCAGTAAAAAAATAAAAGAATAATCAAATGCTGTACTCCAGTGTACTTTAAAGTTGTTCCTGCAGCAACTCTGAGAACGCCTGCCAGCAATCCTGCTGGCTGCAACCAATGGAAGTTTCTTCTTTTATTGATGGGTGGGAGTATCTCCTCATTGCATACAATGAAATACATTTGGCCAGGTCATGTACGGTGCAATGGAAACAAAATAATTTACATTTTAGAGCAGATACTCGTTTTTTCTTATATATGGGGCTGTTCAGTAGTCCCATCTTTAAAACACGTGACTTATCTTTAGGACAATCCTATGGCCCTGGGACTGTTCTAAGGACCACTGTGTGGGTTGGATTTCTGCCTCAGAATCTAAAGTATCTTCAGGCTTGCCAGCCTGCCCTCCCATCATACCTCATTTGGGGGCTTTCCAAAATTAGACATTTCTGACCTTAGTAAACTCCAGCCTTGAAGGTTGGGAGGGAAACTAAAGGGGTAATCTAAGCCTGAATTTTCCTTTCTGAGGCAGAAATCCAGCCCACACAGTGGTCCTTAGAACACTGTCCCAGGGCCGTAGGATTGCCCTAAAAATAAGTAACGTGTTTTAAAGATGGGACTACTGAACAGCTCCATATTTAAGGAAAAATAGAGTATCTGCTCTAAAAGTTCTAAGAATTCAGAGCCTCTACTAAGGAAAAAAACCAAATATTTTAGAACTTTGATTTATTATGCTTTAACGATTCTGTCTTTCTTAACTGTTTTTAACAGAAAGGTTAAAGACCCTTTAATTGGAGTATTAAAGTGCTGGTTACCATGGGAAGGTTTTATTGTAAAAACTGAGATGTTTCACACACAGTAATTAGTTCCTATGATCCTCCCCTTGGGATCATTTCTATATATGGAGTTACCACAGCTCTAGTTAAAACATCCCAGAAATACAATGAATTAAAATTACTTAATGTGTTTATTATCCAGAAAAAAGTGACAAAAGTTGCCTTGTTATATACAGTTTTACCCCACATAATTTTCCAATGTATTTTTATCCCCCTTTTTTAGAAGTCTTTATTTCTTTTAACAGTAAAATCACCCACGCACAATCTCTATTATGGCATTTTAAAAACTCCCACTTTGAAATAACTATTTTTTTAAATTAAAAAAATAGCTATACAATGTTGCTGTAACACAAAATTATGTTTCTGTGCCTGGCTAACAGAAGAATACTTCTGCATTCTGACTGCACCGCATCTGAGAAAAAACCTGAAGAGGTGATGCAGTTGCATTTTTAATTTCTCAAAATACCTGGTCATGAATTTAGTACCTTACTTTCCTTATGCATTCTGCTGCTATTTTTCTATTAGATTTCTAGAAATTCAAAGGGCTGTCTTTTAAAAACACACTTCAGCTGCGTCTTTCCTCAAAAAAGGGTATGGCAATTAAAGCCTATTAAATATTGAAACATTGTAATTCACACACAAGCAAAAGAATAACAAAAGAATATCAGAGTATTAATAAAATAAACCATTAACATTATTTCCACTAGAATTAAGTGCAATAGTACTCTTATAAAAAAGACATGAACAATGTGATCAAAACTTGGTAAAAAGGAAAAAAAAAAAAAGATTAAAAATCCCTCGAAAGGGAGTCCTAAGAATGAAAAAGGGCAACAAGTGAGAAGGTTTAGATGGGAGAAGATGATGCCTAGTCTACTCCCAGTGGTAAACGGTTTTAAAAATATGGCTTTGAATTAATCCTGGAAATAAATAAAAATCAACATAACTGTTTAAATAAGGGAGTCATATTGCTTCTAAACACTGAAATAGCCAAACAGGGGCCTGTTAGTCCCTGGAACAGAGATTCAATCTGTACCATTGGGTGAGCGTTGGCAGTAATGAACTTGATGTTATTAAGGCAATCAAGAAAAACAGTGGCAATGGCTCTATTTACACAATATGCTAAAACCATGATAGCCAGCTACATTGTAGCTTCTTAATGTTATGTGAATCTAGACTCTATGATTAGTTTACCATATTTAGCAAGTAACAGCTAAGTTTTCCTTCCCCTGCAAGCTTGGGCAATGCAGCCTTGGGTAGTGTTGGGGTCACCAAATAGCACTACGGAAATATGGATGAACATAAGAATATAAGCAGTGCCCTGCTGGATTGGACCCCTGGCCCATCTAGTCCAGCAGTCTGTTCTCACAGCAGCCAACCAACTGCATAAGGAAGCCCATTAGGTCCTTGGCATATGGCCTTCGGAGGCAGTCACACTGCCATCAAGACTAAGAGCCATTGATCCCCATGACTTCCATGAATTGGTCCAACCCTTTTTTGAAGCCAGCCAAGCTGATAGCCAGCACTGCATCTCCTGGTATAAGATGAGGCTTCTGTTGTACAGAATAGCCAGGCACATTACAGCACACTGTTCAAGAACAAACATTGACAACAAAAGAGGCATTTATATGCTTCATTATCCCAGGGAAACATGTAGGAATGGGTTGTGCTGTACATTTGAAAAGAAATCATCATAAGTACTACCTTGATATCTCAACCTGCTGCTGATTTGTACAAATAGCTGTATCTTGATTACTGGGAACAGGTACTTTTTCCAATTCGTATGCTCTCAGTTTCTCTTTCAACATTACAATCTGAAACAATAAATAGTTTTATGAAAACAGAGGAACTTGGGGCACATTTTTTTCCAAATTTGTTAAACAATTGTTAAGCTTTCATTATCAAACTTATGACACCAGATTTCCTTCAACTTTGGTGTAAAGTAGTTATTTTAATGCATAGTAATTAGCATCAACATTTAATTATATTCTTACATTTAAAAAAAATATTAATGATAACTAACAACGATAGCAACTGACATACCTCTTTCTTTTGCTCTTCACAAATCTTGACATATTGACTTATATGGCTATCCAGACTTACAACATTGCTCTTCAGCTGTGGAGGGAAGAGTAGAAAAATCATTATCGTCCTCTTTTTTAATTGCAATACAGTATATTCCCCCTTGCTATCGGTGCTTTTTAAAAGTTATCACCTAAACATCACACAGCAGTAATTAAAAGAGTTCTAGATAAATGTACCTGAAGACAAACAAACCCTAAGAAACAATGCAAAACAAAAGCAACACAAAACACATGTGGCAGAATCCCATTGGCCCATGGGATTGAAGAAATTCTTTGGAAAGGCAGAGAATTGCACTGAATGGGTGGTGGAGAAGGAAAGTGGAATCTTGAATATCAAGGAACTGTTTGAATGTTGTGATGGAAGGGAAGGGACAACAAGTAAAAGGAGGAAGGAAAGAAAGACTATTAGAAGTGGCTTTTCCAGAGACTCATGGGGCGAATTGTTATTAGACACTTCTTGTTAAGGACTCCCCTCCCCCAATTGTTCCTTGATGACCAGGGCTATTTAATTAATTTAATTACATCTTATTATTTTACTTGCTTTGAACCTTCTCACTGTAAGACGATCTATAAATCCTTTGGGGCTGGAGTGGCATATAAACTCTAGCTTATAAATAGGTAAATCAATTCAAAATCTTCAGTCACTTCAGAAAAAGCATGGCATTTTTGTCTTGGAAGTGTGTTACAGGTTGACTGATATACTATTTTAAAATAAGCACAAAAGATATAATCATCTGTATACAAGTAGTCCCCAGTTTAAGAACGAGTGTCATTCCCAAAGTCTGGCCTTAAGTCGACTTTGTCTGTAAGCCAGAACAGTATTATTGTGTAATACTGTATAAGTAGTATTGTGTAATTAACTCAAACCATTGTGTATTTAACTCAAATCATTGTGTATTTCACTTGAATTTTGCTACAATAGGCTCTGTTCTTAACTATGGGTGTCTGTAAACTGGGCAATCTTAACCCGAGGACTACTTGTATTTTAAAATGCTTATAAGTTGCCATTATTCACGAAGAATTGTGGAACAGTTTACTTACTGAGGATTTGATGTCTTTGGCTCGGTTGGCATATTTAAGAGTGTTGTATGTGTCATCGTAGAACAAAGAGGAAGGACTAACAGCAGCTATAATGATAGTGCGACAATTTCCTCCAAGAGAATCCTTCAGTAAACGAGTAAGCTTGCTATTCCTATAGGGAATATGCTGATTCTTTCTCTGAAAAAAAATCCCAGCACAAAATATGAGGTGTTTAATAGCTTGCTGAGATTACTATAGCTTCAGACCAAGACCTACTATGAACAGCTGTTCCACATTGCACATTTTGCAGTAGGTGATAAAATCTTGAAAAATTTTGCTTGTTTACAACACCTGGCTGATCCTCACCATTCTGTGCTCCATTTTTCCTTCTAATTAAATCAAAGGTTAGCACGTTACATTCCTAAATCCTTGAAATGAGAAATGTTAGGACGGAACCAGTAAGTTCCCCTACTCTTCCAGCAGTTTCCTTCCTGTGCCTTTCTATAGTAAAAGTCAACAACAGCTGCTTCTCTATATCTTTCCCAATTGTTAATTATAGCAGGAAGGCAGCAATCTGTAGTGAGTGGGGAATGAAGGACCACAATGGGTCTGCATCATTATTGTAACAACTGCTGAACACATCAGCCACAAAGCCACAATTCTAGGTTTCACAATAGTCCCGAATATATTTCCAAGTAGATCTCAATACGTGAGGAATGGTGAACACCCTTTATCTGTGTCATGCTGTGACATCACTAAACTACTAGTTGTCTATGGGTGCAGTGCAACTGACTGCAGTGGGGAGGTGTGGTTTACACATAAACACTTCCATGTGAACAACAACCCCACACTATCAGTATTCTAGCTTCCATGGAAATCTCTATGTGGAAACAAAGGCCCTGCGCTGCAGAGAACTAAACTGTACTTCAATAAGTAACATGTCATCACATGTTGTGGGGTGCTCATAGCTTCTTCAAATACATTTAATAAACAGTCTATAATAATAGTTCATAGTAAAATTATTCATTTAAACCATGAAATATATTAGATTTTATATTATAATTCTGTTTCTATTAACTCAAGGATTTTATTCTACTGTTGGCAATTTTTTTATCTCCCTAATTTTCAACAGTTCTACTTCCCCAACTTTGTCAACTCATTCTTTACATGAAAAGAATTAATTAGATATCTCTAACGTATGTGTTTTGTGAATCTGTCAGTAGGTTCATAAAAGTAAGTTTTAATAGCATAGTTTTGGGATTAAGCATTAAATTTATAATTCTCTGCATTTGTCTCCACAAAATTTAGAATTTTTGTCATAACTGACAGATAATCAACTAATTGCAGGCATTGCTTCAACATGAACAATTATATTTTCCGTAAACTATATTAATTTAAACATTGTCAGATGACAACACATTATCTTGAAATAACCATTTAAATCAACACAAATTATATCTCACTGCTCAGCAGTATATTAGCCTTTATTCTTGGTCATCAATTTTGAACTACAGTTTTTTTCTGAATTGCTTTAAATAGCGTGTTTTCATTAATAAGCATTTTTATTGTTAACAAACATTTAAGACATATTGTACTTCAGATGTGTTGGACTACAACTCCCACTAGCCAGGCCTGGAAGATGGAAACTGCAGTCACTGATGTCCAGTTCAGACTCAGAGAGGGAAAAGAAGTGGAGGCTTAGTCCCCAGAGGTAGAGAACTAAATCTTGGCATACAACCTAAACCAGACCCCTTTCCATCATCCTTGGCAGAGTGTGAACCAGAACTGCAAGACATAAATTTTAGAGAGTGACAGTGCCATCATGTGGAAGCCCAGCAAGATAAACAGCCCTGAAATGCAAGGCTATATGGCCCAGCTTCTCAGGAGTAATGGGCGCTGGCTGAGCTTGGAAGAGCTCGGCCCTCCACAGTACACAAAGTTACACAATGGTCTGATCAAATTACTGGAAATAATGTTTGTAACTTCCTATCTTGCCATTCTGCGCTTTGAAATCCAGACTTATTTAACTTGATTCTTTGACTCTTTGATTTCTAGTCACCTTCTGTATCTCCTGACCAATTCTACCTGACTTGATAAATTTGCTGAATACAACGATTCGATTAAACTTGGCTTATTTTTGTGTAGCTTTCTTTGTGATGGCCTGTTTATAGTGGTGTTGACTTAAAAGCTGCCTGACTATACCCTCTAGTAATCTGTCTGAAAGGCTGCCTTAAGACTTCTCCCTTCTAAAAACAATTTTCCAGACTTGGTTACCCACGTTATCAATTAACTATGCCTTAGTGCAGTATTTATATCATTTTAGATCTCCATCTACTGGAAGCAATATGGTCTATTCACTTCTATTTTATTTTTAAAAGATTTCATCATTTTAAAAAAAGTGCCCCATTATTATAACGCTGCAAGGCTATGCAAACTCTTTAAAGCAAGAAAATTGGAATACACAAGTATGTATAAAAAGCATCTCTTTTTGAATCATGAAAAATCACTTCATTTTGTATTTTTCTCAGCAAAGGGCATGCACAGCCAGGAGCAACTTCCAAAGCAGTTGTTTGTGCCTGGGAAAAGAGGTGGTTGCTTTATCAGTTCAAAAAAGCTACTTCACACACAGTCCTGCATGTTCCAAAACATTGCTTGTAAAGGATATACCCAGCTTTGCCTTACCTCAAAAATATGAATCACCAGTAACAGAGAATTTACATGATAAATTAATTAACATCAAGGTTCACTTCCCTACCCAGGCATTGAAAATGTGAGTGAATCTCTGGATGGTAGATTAGGCTGCTGAGGATGTCCTGTGTCTTGACACAAAGAAAACCTCTGGTCCAGATTCCCCATCAAGTTTGTAGCTCAGGAAGGGTGCAGGCATACAATCAACCTTCCTTCCATTCTTTGCAAATATGTGACAGCTGGGAATTATGTCTGGAAAAAACTGTGGCTGATTTGGAACTAGTTTGGGGAGTTCCTTCCAGGACATGGGAGAACCTCCTTTTAGCTAACATCTTATGCTAGTTATTCTTTAGTTCAGCCTTCTCAATTAAATAATTTTAAAAAAGTATAATTTCCAGATACAAAAACGATTGATGTAATGCCATTATTTCTCTCTTTGAATAGGCATAAGGAAACTCCACTGTTGACAGTGGGACTTACACCTAGACCCATTCAAAAATGCGCCATGCAGACAATTATAATCCAAATGAATAAATACATATGATTGTGCAGCTCATCTCATATTGATTAATGTGAAATTTAACAAAAACATTGCTGGGAGAGAGGAAGGAAATATTACTGACCTTTGGGTCTGCCAGAGCATTAATAACATTGCCAAGAGCAAGCAGTGACCGATTTATATTTGCCCCTTCTCTAAAGCGAGCTCCTTTGGCCTTTGTGGCACTGGCACGTTCAGATCCTGCCAGGTCAATGAGACACATTTTGGCGATACGGACATTTTGACTGATACTTGCAGTTTTATCTTGTTGCCTTAAATAAATCTGAAATTAAAAAAAAACAGAATAAAGAAGAAGCAATTTAGCAAAGGTTCCATATAATAACATCCCCATATACACAAATTTAGAAGACAGAAGTTACTGATTACTGCACACAAACTTAAGCTTTTCTTGATATCGGAGGGATGGGAGGTGGGGTGTTGTATAATCATTCAAAGAGTGGGAGATTTAATGGCATAATGGAATTAAAATTCATGTTAGATGATATTCCTGAGATTAAAACACTTTTGGAAAATGAACTTTATTAAATTTTCTGATAAGTCTGTCCCATGTGCCACTCATGATTACCTAATACAATTAAATGTAGTATACTATAAAATCACAAACTAAGAGTTGGACAGTACATTTGGAAAGCTTTTTAAAATGACATTTTCTTGGAGAGCTTGTTGGCTGCAATCCTGCGGACTAGGATTCACAAGCAATAAGACCAACTGAAATTAATGGGATTTTTACAGGAATAAACTTGTATAGGATCCAGCTGTTTTTAGCTGAAACCACATTTATTAAAAATAATGAACAGGAAAAAAAACTGTTTGCGAAATCATGTTACTCTAATATTAGTACAAGAGACATTTATTTCTTCAAGCAGCCTCAATACTTCAATAGACTAGAAAGCTCTTCTCTTGAAGGCTATTTAGCACAAAGGGTTTAAAGCAAGTATTTCTGCAAGCTGGAACTCTCTTCCCAATAACAAAGCTATTAGGAATGGCATACCATAATCTGAGAGTTCTTTCTCTCTTTTACACAAAGCATCAAAGGTTATCTAAGATCCTCAGACACCTTATCTACCGTTTCATCTTACCTGAAAGACAGCATGGGACCGAGAAGAGGAGGCATTCACATCAGTAGGATGTTGTGTTCTGTTTTTGTTTCCATAATCCAACATTTGCAAGATCTCTTCGGCAGATTTGGGCTGCCAAGGATTGAGGAAAAGAGACAGTGAAATTAGTAAATCTTCTCAAGATTTTAATCAGGGAGTTTCATTATCACAATATCTAATAATAATTTAAACAAAGTTTAAATTTAGTCTCTGGTTACCATCTTATCTCAGGGAATGAGCGATACAAAGGAAGTAAGATGATATCTCTTATCAAACCAGCTTCTGTTGGTACACACAAGCATCAGTGTCTGCCCAAAGATTACATACAAAAATAATGCATAATATTGGGAGGGAAAAGCTAGAAAAAAAGCATAGTTTTCTCCATTACCAGAATTCTTCTGACTTTTGGCTATCACAGAGTAATACAGCTCTCTTCCTATGATGTCTGTTCAAAACCAGTAACTCATTCTGACTATAATAGCTGGATGGTTATGTCAGATCAATGTTTGCCTAAAATTCATCTTAAAGCAGATGAATAAGAGCATTCGGAGATCCAGAATTAAACATTTACAGGGGACAAAAGCATAAATGTACAATAAATCATAAAAAATAATTAAGTCAATTCATGGCAAGGATGTAAGTTTCTCATTCCACTGTCTCAAAGTTTATAGTATTGATTTAGTGTTCTACTTTCAGAAGACCCTGTCATAACCACTCCTTAAAAACTGAAGTAAATATTTGACATGAGCAGCACACATTCACTAGCTGAGATCTAGGAAGAAAAATCTAACTAGTTTCATATGGGAAAAGGTAGTTTTGCCATACAAATTCATGCTGTTATTGCTTCCCTGTTCCATAGAAAATTTCTGCCACTAGAAGACCAAATTTCTGAAAATGGTTCTTTTTGTAACATACTGCACTATTTTTTATTCCTGAACTATTTTCAGGTGTCTTTTGCTTTCTCAGTCCTACACACAAAATGGCCACCAAATTAACTGTCAATAAATTTGGGGGTGGGGTGTCTTTGAGTCAGTCTTGACTCCTGACAACTGCATGGACAAGACCCTGCAGTTTTCCTGGCAACATTTTTCGAAGTGGGGTATTTGCCACTGCCTCCTTCCTAGGACTGAGAATAACTGGCCTACGGACACTCAACTGGCTTCATGCCTAAATCAGGACTAGAACTCACCACCTCCTGGTTTCTAGCCTGGTGCCAACCGCTACACCAAACTGGCTCTCTGTCAATACAATGGGGAGTAGGAATTTCAGCATGCTTTGGAAATTCCTCATGAAGTAGTAAAGATAAAGAGCAAGCAACAGCATACATAAAATAGAGGACACTGGCCACATTAATCTTCTAAGAGCTTATGACATACAGCTAGCTCTGGATGGAAAGGGGAATACATTATGAAGTATACATTGTACAATATTCATTCTCTCTGCTTTCCTCAAACTCAGTATGCAAAAGGTTTGGAAGCACATGGAAGTGGGTATCACATGGCCTAGCAGTGACCTGAAGGGACTTTGATGGCTTGACCAAAACCACCACCAAACCCTGGCTTCTCCAATCCTAACAGAAATTGGCAGCTGTAATTGTCAAGTTTCTGAAAAGCCCAGCAACTTAAAGGTTTTGTTTCTGTGAAGGGGTAAAAGCTCCCAAATAGCCTGAAATATCTTTCATTGGGTTGGATAGAAATAAGTATGAATGTTTGGAATTGGACATACCTTTGAATCTAGGTCCTTTCCAAATCTCCCATATACTGCATGAAGGCAAAAATAGCCTATTTCTGCAGTATTGCTCAGATGGTGAACAAGGCAACTACAGTCCATTAAAATTCAGGATTAGGCAATCAAGAAGCTATAAATCTGCCCATCTACATGTATACAAAGGCATCAATAGTAGAGAAAATTGCTTAGAAGACATATTTCTTGGTTCTGAATCCATTGCCAGTTTCCTCCAAAGCTCTGATTGTAGAAGCTAAGATGCACAATAGGGTGGCAATAGCATAAAGAGCACAAACAGGAAGATGAAACACAGGAGTGGAAGAGATGAGAGGGCAGACCACAAGTATAAGCACAAATGTAAGAATAGCACTACAATAATAAAACTATCCCTGATTATTTTAAAATTTAGTAACCCAGTTTTGGGATTAATGGTTTGATAACAGCCAAGCTCTTCAGTTTTATTTTGTCAGCTCTAAATAATTGCCTCATAGCAACCATTTTTGATAACAGGCCACTTAGAAGTCCATTAGTCTTTCAAATGTTTTCAAGGGAGTACAGTAATTGTTTACATCTTATTTCCTTTCCCAAAATGCATTAATTACTACTTATTTAAGTAACTGTTCTGATTTTGGACATAAAGTTGCACATGTGTGCAATTTGGATCAGGACATACTTAAATGTGAAGTCTCCTTCAAGCTGAACCTGATTCTTGCTGATTTCATGGGCACATAAACATAATTTTGAGGTAGCAACAGCCGAGCACTGTTTAGATCAGGAGTCCAGGTGTAATCAGAGATAGCTTGATTCCTAAATTTCATCACTGTGTTTGTATTATCAAACTTCACCCCTTAAGACATTTATTGCACATATCCCCAAAGAAACCAAACATTCAATTTATACAAGAATTATGAAAATGGAAAGATTGCAAAAATAAAACAATAAACATCCCCTTTTCTATCCCTTTCCCACCTCCACAAAATGAACTTTATACCAAATGTACATTTCATGTTCCATTAAGCAGCGGCTTATTTAGACATGATTTGTTGAATAAGCTCCAATGTCCCCATCATACAAAAGCTAAGTAATAAATTATGGTTCATATGCCACATGTGTTACACAACACATTAAGCTAATTCCAGATAATATTATGGGTCGGTCTAAAGGAGTGTTTCTTAAA